CGGTGAACGGTGCTTATATACTAGTTGAAGGCGCTTATGTGTGCATCACTCTAATACGCGACGATCCACGAGTGTTGTAGTTATGTGCAGGAGTACGGTGCGTTACATTAGTAGTTTTATTTTCATGAAAAATTTTAGAATGACGGTAGTTCTGCTTCACTCATATCGACGCTAGACAGAAATTTTATTAACGCTCACTACTACGAAGAGTGTGGGACACACGCAAAAAGGGTACCGGATAGAAGGAGTGGGGATGAGACGAAGTTGAATGTTATAAATTTAGATTACTACCGCGCTAAAGTGTGGCCGTTGGGAATCATTTTGTACGGAATCGAAGAAGGATTACGTAAGTATTTATTGAAAAAAAGAAAAAAAAAAAAACATTCGCCACCATAAAAATAGTATTATTATTTATTTAGCCGCAATCACTTTTTGACTTGACATCATAAATTACTTGATGCCAGCGAAGGTAGCAAAAAGGGCCGCCATCAGCAAAGTAGAGCACAAGGCGCTACACTAATTTGCAGGTTGTAGTAGCCAACAAGTAATCATACCTACATTGTCTTTACAAGTTAATATTTGTAGGCGGAACCCCAGATCACCAAAAACTGTCAGTTTCTATGGCGATAATCGAACTATCCACTTGCGTAGTATTTCAAGAGGTCAAAGCTGATGATATACTGTCACCCAAGAATGTTATATGGTTTGGAACGCGAGGGGAGGAAATGCCGGCTTTCGGATTTCAGGAGGGCAAGCAGGTACAATTGGACATGGACAGTTTCTATTATAAATACAATAACGATTTATACCAGGTAAAATATGACACCCGTTCTTACTGTTGTGGTACTTGAGATTGACAGGTGATCATCCTCCAACTCGCTTAATCTTATCCTTGTTTAGTGAAATACTCCAGCCATATAACATTTACATAATAAATAAATAAAATATGTTTATTGTCTCTCTCTTAATTATTGTTAGGAGTTCTAATTAAAACTTTAAGGAAGAAACCGGTCTCTATAAGTATACAGAACTCAAGCCAACACAAATCTTACTCCAAAAACCTACCGCATTATAATTCATCAACATGCATGCGTTGAACTAAGGGCAGAGTAACACTAAACGGTTTGAAACGTAATTTATGTTAGTTAATTATTTATGAGCGACTGAAACCTGACGTTTTTAAAACTTCAGCAATCGCTATGATCGTTTACCTAATGAAAATATGTTTTATATTTCAGACATTGAAACTAACCTCCATGATCAACGGAGCACCTGGTCACACAGCGCATGCGATAAATAACTTGATGAGGGTTCTTGGCGTTCACATGATGTCCAACCGCTATGACAGAGACAACCACATCACAATACACTGGAGCCGGGTTGAAAAAGGTATTTTTGAATAAAACAAAGATCCTCAATACATCGCCATTATGAGTTGCTAACACCATCAGATGTTAACCTAGTGTCGAGAAATGGCGGCCGCATCCCATGAAGCTCTTTCAAATGTCCGTCTGCTCTCCATTCACTCCAGTGATGCGTTCGTCTACACCCCACCCAGCAGGTTCCAGGTGCCAGCGCCGATCCGCAAACCGTTATAACCGCTCACTCGGGTGAGCTTCCTTCCAGCATCTTAAGCTCTTACCCGCAATGCGGTCAAAAGGAGACCGATGCACCACTCGGAGCGGCGGACCCTCGGTCTAGCCGCAAGCACGGTGAAGCATTGTAAATGGTCGCGAAAACCTTATACAACATATTTTATCTATTATTCCAGGCAAGGAACACTACCTTGAAAGGGCCCCAGAAGAGTCTTGGCTGTCTCAAATACCCTATGATTTTGACAGCGTCACGCACGCGCCTGCGAACTACGTGTGCAGATCGTGCGAGTTGGGAGCAACATCTGTTCAACCGGTGCAGGTAATTTAGGCCATTATGGCTGCATACCACATAAAACTACACCGTAAGTAAGTACTGAGAGTCTAAGAGGATCTATAATACCTTAATTCTGTCTAGTTTTTAATAAAAATCAGTCTTGCAGTTAAAGTTAATATATTTACCTTGTTTATATAAATGGCTTTGTACCACTGTTTTGGTTCAGCCAGTGGTCACAGCTAAAGCAAATGATCCGAAACGTCGGGACGAAGATAGAATAAATTGAAAATAATTAAATATACTTTGCAATTGAAACATTTTTATGTATTTTATTTAAATGTGTTTAGTTTAAACCTCCAAACAAAATAAAAACACAAAAACTTCCTTTAAAGTCGCTTTAATTCTGTTATTCGTGATTCGACCTTTATTTTTAATTTATACAACAAGTAGCATTAGCATTTTTCACATTACATAAATAATTTCAAAATTATTTATGTTAAATATTAAGTTTTGAAAAATAGTAATAACAGTTTATTTATTTAGCATTTGCAAATAATAATTGATTATAGAACAATAAATATTCAATCTAACAGATGAAAACTCAAAGTAGGTTTCAGAAAATACCTTTTTTTGTTTGTGTTTTATGTCGCGAACGAATTTTTTGTACGAATCGCCCGTCATAATTAAACTGATAGTGAAACGATTCGTCGTTTAACATACATTTTTAATTTGCAGGATCATCTATGGCAGCGGACTATGTCGATGGGCCACAAGAATGTCCTAACAGAGGCCGACATTCAAACAGTGAATTTAATATACAGCGAACAGTGTTTTAATCGTATAGGAAAGAAAGATTAAAAGCAATGAGGTATATTTCGTGTTTTATTAACAGAACCGTACCAAGCTGTAGTTCCTGAGAATAGCGCGTTCAAACAAACAAACTCTTCAGCTGTCTACATTACTAGCTGTGCCAGCGACTGCGTTCGCTGAGAATATTTATTTTTGGCATCCAAATTCGTTTTCGCACACTCCTTATTTATAAACTTTCCGTCTTTCGTTGTGCTGTTACCCAGGACTTTGGTCGCGCCTCTTCCCGTCGTTCTTGCAAGTTAATCCTAAAAGATAGAAATATAGCGTCGAGGACTTTTTTTAGATCATCTAAAGAGGGATCATTTTTTGATGCCTTTTTTGGGTATCTTGAACCGTTTTTGCAGCGTACGCCTCGGGAACCCATAATGATGAATGGGCCAAAATACTTTTAAGTGCCTAATTCGAGAACACAATTCATTTTATTTTTACTAAATTGAAATATATAATTTCCTTTTTTTGAAATGCTAAAATAGATAGGTTATAGTTCTATTTATAATATACCTACCTCAGCAGCGATGGTTTTAATGATTTAATAATATTTATAGCATATAATACATCAAGTTGTCGAGAAATTAAACAACTGCGTAACTATTTTACAGATGTAATTTTTATTTAATGAATCGGACATTGAGACTTAATAATACGTCAGTTTTAAACTGTAGTGATTATATAAATCACCTATAAAGCAAAATCACAGAAATAATCAGTTTCATCAAATATTCATATTTAATTAGATATACTGCGTTACCTATGTTAAATGTTAAAACTTAAACTTTTCCATCAATTACAAAAATAAACTCAAAATTAATTCCAATTGACAACATAGTATTCTTCTTGTAATATATTTATTGCAAGTACGTATACATTAAGACATTTTTGACAATAAGAATCATTTGTATAATTAAAAATACATTAAAAACAAGAGGGACACAAAAGTAACGCAGTATTAAGCTTCGTAACACAGTAGTATTTTCTCATATACTATACTTTCTACTTTCAATAGAGGTCTTCATAACTATACTTAACTATAACTACATAATATATTGATTAACGTCTTAATAACCTTTCAAAGAGGTTTCGTTTGACATACGATTTAAACTTATTTATTGAGAGTGCTTGCACTTCGCTGGGGATTTTATTTAGAGTATTGTATGCAGTTACCTTGAAAAGAACTACTACATTAACAAAAATACATATTAGTAAAGTAAAAAAAAATACTATGGAGGACTTAAATAATATATGTAAAGTCCAGTACAGTTCACCATCCAATGTTGAAAATTGTTCTGGGGTTGACTAAACAGCAATTAGATTTTATTACTATGGCTTTACAATACTTCTAACATACTTCTCATAATCAAATCAATTGCTTATATTTTACCATTAATATGGTCACTATATACTATTCCTAAAATAGCAATGCTATCAACTAGTAAACTACCAGTAAAGTTTTTTTATGCAACTTTAAAATTATAATTGCATTATGCATTTATATAGACTATTTCTAATTACAGTCAATAAACACTTTAATGTTTATAACATTTAGTTGTGTATGTAAATATTACATTGATTTATAATGTTCACTTATAACACATAATGTTTAATGTCCACTTACAAATACGGTAACGTTATAATATATTTATCATAAGTAAGACTTCCAAAACAACTAAGTATTAGCTAGACGTTTTGTTTATATTAATTATTGCTCATTAATTTGACAGTTGGCGCAGCATGACTTTGACTTTGAAACCATAGATAATATTTGGATTTGAAAGGACAATATGACATCATATTGTCTGTTTTCAGGGTTCCCGACAATGTGACAACGTATTATATATTAACATATCATATAACGACGTGGACAGTACTTCCGGCATCCACAGCGTTCCGTGTTGCTCTAACAAATTGGGCTACCGTGTCTTGACGATGACGAATTTTTTAAACCTATTGATACTCGCGTAATGTAATTTTTACCTAATACCACCTTACTGTCGATGGCGGTTCAAGTCCTGCCCGTGTCGTAAAATAATTTAATTTCTATATTATAATTTATAACGCTATTATATTGTTTAGATATAATGAAAACTAAACACGCTACTTTACAATTTAACGCCTTTTTTAAACGATCTTATTGGAACATCATAACATCTGGTGAAGTACCCTTTGTTAGGCAGTCCTATAAGTGAGTTCAGTGTGGCATTTTTAGATTTGTTAGAAGATATTATTCTCTTTGAGTTTTATGAATGTTTCACCGATATTTCCAGGCCATTTTTCGATTTCAGTTAAAATTAAACGAAATGTAAGGCTTTCGGCATTCTTTAATTAACCTTTTTGAGTTATGATGAAGAAAACATATTAATATAAAATATGTTAAATACGAACGAAAATTAAGAAACAGTTTGCCAAAAACAGTCAAGAGATGTCGCTATTTTAATGTTATTGAAACATATTTATCTATGATCCAAGGCTAAAGCTATTAATTCAAAGCGTATAACTAGCGGCACGGATTTTTACGGAGGGAGAAGTCAAAAATAAGCTATCGAAGGGAGGGAAGCGGAAGCAATTCTGTGCGCGAGTATAGAGCGGAAATCTCCTCTACATTTCGTGCAGCGCTAAACATTCGTGCCGCGACCTAAACTTCTAAAACATGCTAATGAAGTGATGATTACCATTTTATATATCGAGTCTGTCGTAAAGCCTGCTACGTCATGAGTAGGCTTTATCCCATGATCTGCGCGCGTAGCAAATTGTCCCTCAGACATAAAGTTATGCTTTACAAAACTTGTATTCGTCCGATCCTTACCTACTCCAGCGTCGCGTTCGCTCACGCCGCCCCTAGTACATTGCACAGGCTCCAGGTGCTTCAGAATCGGTTCACTCGAACCGCCACTGGAGCCATCTGGTGCGTACGGAATGCAAATCTTCACGCCGATCTCGAATTACCGACCCTCAGTCGGTACTTCAAGGAAACGTCCGAACGTTTCTTTAAAAAAGCCGCGACGCATCCGAACCCACTGGTGGCCCGGGCCGCCAACTACACCGTTCCCATTAATACACGCTGGAGAAGGCCGCGTAACGTTCTCACCGACCCCGATGACGACTTAACCAAAGCCGTCGACTTACTTATTGCTATGCGATCGGCCGACACCGGTGCCGATCGCCCGCAAAACCGCCTACGCCGGCGTAGGCGAGGTCATTCGCTTCGCGTACCGCTCACCCGGGTGAGCTTCCGTCCAGCTCTTCTAGCTCCCACCCGCATTGCGGCGGTCCAAGCCGAGGCCGATGCCCCCCTCGGGGCACCCTTGGTCTAGCCGCAAACACGGCGAGCGCTATCGCGCTCCCAAAACGCCCGGTTAGTATTCGTGGCTCCTTAGGAACACAATACGTAAGAGTCCAATCAAAAAAAAAAAAAAAAATTTTATATTTTTCCAAGACCAAGCTTTCTTATCTTTTTATGGAGATACATATTATTGTATCTGTCACGAATGTAACATGTTTTCCGTTTCTATTTGCTATTATCACTTTACAAGTTTTAATTTGACCACCATTCCTTAACCTTCGCTTAAGGTTAACATGGAGTCTTTATTGTATACACTGTGGTGTCATGGAAGACGGTGTTTAGTTATTAGTTTTGAGAGTATTAGTTGATATAGCTAACAAATTCCAATTTGTTTGTATAATAATAGTTATAAAATGTTCATATTTTATATGTCAATTTCTAGAGTTCTATGAGATAGTCTATTTAGATTTAAAACCTTTTAGATAAAGATTAATAAAAATATCGCTTAAATAAAACACTTTAACGGTTTAAAACGCGATATATTAGTTAAACTTATTTGAAAATTATGCGGGGGGGTGGGGGGGAGGCCCCGGGACCACGGCTGCTCCAAAGCATCCGAAACGTCGGGCCGAAGTTAAAAATCATTTTCAAATAAGTTTAATATATCGCGTTTTAAACAGTTAAAGTGTTTTATTTAAATGTGTACTACTCACGTAAACTATAGACAGTATTTAAAAATATCGCTATCAAGTTTTATGTTACTGGCCGAAAAGAGAACTAACCTTCTTAAATGTTAGTTTCATTAAAGTCGTCAGATGGCGCTGAACACTACAATTAGATTTTTACTCTATGACCCAGAATATATATTTTGGCAATTGTGTAACTTTTAATTTCTTTTTTGTACCATTTTAAAACGAAGACAATGGCAAGATCACAGTATGTAATTGTTTAAAAACTTGTATTTCAATCGGAGATTACGCGCTTAAGTGCATTTTTTTATTACATTAAGGTATATATCGTAAAGATGCATAATTATATGGATGCATAATCATATTAACATTGGTATTTACATTTTAGTGGCTGATATGGATATTTTGTTGATTTTGTTTCATACGTGGCAACACCCGCTCGTGTTCTACTGAACTTGTGACAATCTTAAAATCTCACAGTTATTTTTGTTTTCGTTTGCTCTAATTGAATATTTTATTTAAAAAATAGGTATGTTTAGATATGATATTTCCTATCTTCTTATTACCTGTATGTTTATGAGTGTTATTTGTTTATCTCATATAGTATTCATTTTAAAACAACATTTTTTAAATAAATCACTATCTTTTGCTAATTATGCCCAATTAAGCGAATAATTTTGTATTTAAAGCCCGAGTTGTCAATCAATGTGTTTGGCTGTAGCTATTCATAGTTGTTCCCGACTTTTCATCATCACGAGTAAGTACGACTTGATATTGGTCAGAAAAGTGACGACCTCTAATGATGACTAATATCAATTTCTTTTTGATATACAGGATATAACATAGTCATAGAATTACAATAATAGTGTTTCATTTTACTTCTTTTTGCTTAGCTAGCTTTAAAAACAAGAAAGTCTGTTTTATAATTAAATTTAGTGGTATAGGTCTGTTCCCATTTTGGTTTAAGTTCTTCACTACATTGTTTAAAAATAACAAGCAATGTGAACACACCAGTTTGTTAATATATTTTTTCAAAAAACAATCTTTTAAAAATACAAATTCACTATTATGATGCATATTATATGACCATTTGTCAAATGACATTCTCAATTATTTGAAAAATGTTTCAGATCACATGCCTAAAGTCAAGACAAAAACAGTGACACGAGCTGACACTATTGTAACTAGGTCTAAGACTTCTTCAAAAAGATTTATCCATGGGGAGCCACAATTAAGGGTGTACAAAAATAAAAAGAGCAAAAAGGTAGAAAATGTAGCAAAGAACCGAAGAAATTTACAAAAGGAGATCGATAAGGATTATTATCCAGACAAGAAGAAGAGGAACAGTAAAGCTAAGAATATAGTTTTACAGCCAAAGCACAACTATACTGTGGTTGCAGATGTCAATAATTGTAAAAGACGAAAAATGAATGTCCCCAAGAAAGGTATATCTTATTATACAAAATCCATTCAAAAACCTCTTACACTATTATAAATATCATATCTGTTAAAGTACATTTATATTCTGTCATGCGTATGGCAGAATATAAATGTGTCAAATCGGCATTGTACATTAATTCAGTGTGTCCTCTATCAAAAAATATTGTGAATATTTATAGTATAACACACATAATATGTAATGTATATATAATGTATTGTGTTTCAGATGTCAATGCATCTAGTGATGAAGAAAGCACCAATGAAATATTGCTCCGTGCCACCATATCGAAGGTGATAACCACAATGCAAGAAGCAGATGAATTGGATGATGAGGATTTCATGGAAATCCTGACGTGTCCTAGTCCTGTCTGGTGGGAGGAAGCGCCTCCAGGTTACATTGAAGGTGGTGTGTCCCTAAAATAAAGGATTTGCTTTTAGCCCATTTTGAAAGTCACCTATTTTTGCTATATATGCAAAAATCCATATACTGAAACATTATCCAAAATTAGGCTTAACCGACAGAATGCGCGCCAACGTTCGTATTTGACAGTTCCTCAGCTAGTGTCGGGACGCGCGCGGTAATCGCGTCGCACTAGTGTTGTGTCGTCCCCGCTAAGTCAGAGGATTATTCATATCAGTTCGGCCATCCTGTGTAGTCCTTCGCCCTCGAAGGCAGGAAGTAGCGCTCCCGCTAAACCGCCGCTCAAGCAAGTGCAGCCCCGTAGGCGTCGAGCTCCGCCACCATCACGGTAAATAGCCCCGTAGGCAGTAAATAGCCCCGTAGGCAGTAAATAGCCCCATAGGCAGTATAATAGCCCCGTAGGCAGTAAATAGCCCCGTAGGCAGATAATAGCCCCGTAGGCAGTAAAAAGCCCCGTAGGCAGATAATAGCTCCGTAAGCAGTAATAGCCCCGTAGGCAGTAAATAGCCCCGTAGGCAGATAATAGCCCCGTAGGCAGTAAATAGCCCCGTAGGCAGTAAATAGCCCCGTAGGCAGATAATAGCCCCGTAGGCAGTAAATAGCCCCGTAGGCAGATAATAGCCCCGTAGGCAGATAAATAGCCCCGTAGGGAGATAATAGCCCCGTAGGCAGTAAATAGCCCCGTAGGCAGATAATAGCCCCGTAGGCAGATAATAGCCCCGTAGGCAGTAAATAGCCCCGTAGGCAGTAATAGCCCCGTAGGCAGTAATAGCCCCGTAGGCAGATAATAGCCCCGTAGGCACATAATAGCCCCGTAGGCAGTAATAGCCCTGTAGGCAGATAATAGCCCCGTGGGCACAATATAGGCCAGTAGGCACTATGAAAGAGGGGTGACAGCATCTTGCTGTAATTCGTCCTCTGATGAACAACTGTCTAGCGTAGCTTTCAAAATCTTCATTTAGTCACCTTATGTCACAATTGTTACACTTGACCATCTTGTTTAAGTTATTATTTTAAGCATTAAATGAACCCGAGGATTTCACCTCAACGCAGTCCGATGATGTTTTCATACAGGCCAGGTACTTTAACAAAGAATTAGTATCATGACAACCAGCCGACAACGCTCCAACTTCTAACAATTTGTCCCCAAGTGTACCCACGATTGCTTGAGCTATCACATCATCACTCATATTACATGACATGCCAATACCCAGCTTATCATAGTAAAATTTTATTGGGTCTTCATCTTTTGTCTTGATACGGTTAACAAGTTCCCTAATCTGTGACAACTTATTCTTAGTGACAGTACGGAAATGCCATAGTGTCAGAATTTACTACGACTGGATAGAAGTAGGCACAATACTATGCACACTTTGCCCCCGCCTCACCCCTTTGTGGCCGCCCTGTAAACTAACTCAGGTAGTAAATTCTGACATTTGCATCTGGCTGTGCTATTGTTTTTTACAAAAACCAGATGTTTGCTATTTAGCGCTCCCTCGGTAGATTTTAGTTAGTTAACAATCGAATTGTCTACAGAAATAATAAAATGTTTAAAAAGGTTTCAAATCATATTGCTAATTTTAAAAATTAACTTTAAGAATGCAAAGAAAACAATATCGTTGCCAAATGGCTATTTATTACATTTTTACACCTATCGTATATATATATACGTAGTCCTTTTTTTTAATGATAATGAAAGCTGAGAGTCTGGCGCAGTTTTTAAACTAACTTAAGAGGTACAAAGCTACCTATTAATATTTTAAATTTAAAGTTGAAATTTTAAGACGCAGTTCACGGCTCGTAACTTTTTCACTTTGAACCATCATATTTTTAACTTCCGTTAAGGTTACGAAGACAAATGTTTTAATTATTAATGTACAACTCATGCTTGTTAAGCTGTGAAAAAAAAATCTAGAAAAAGTCTTATCACCTTTTGTAAATTAGCGTTTTAGTTATTAAGGACAAAAATGCTCAAAATTTTAGAAAAAAATTCGTAACTCGAAAACTATAAATAATCGCTGAACATACATGGGGGTGTTTCGGATGCTCCAAGGGGTATTCTATCTTGGGACTTCCGCTTGATACTACTTCTTGGGACAACCTGTATAATAAAAGCGTCTTTTCGCATCCAAAACCGCCAGTTTTTTTTTTCACCAAACTTTGCACTTTAAAAGTGAAATTATCGTCCAATTCATTAAAGTTCACTCGTGAGCAAGATCACTTATCGCACTTCTGATACTGTTAGGACGGAAAAAGACGGACGCTAAGTCGGAGGATTATTCATATCAAAACGAAGCTTCATATGTATGCAAGATTCCCTTCTACCAAGCTCATGCTAAAAATTTCATAAAAAAATAGTTAAATACTGTCTATAGTTTACGCGAGTAGTACACATTTAAATAAAACACTTTAACGGTTTAAAACGCGATATATTAGTTAAACTTATTTGGAAATGATTCTGTCTCCCCGTGACCACGGCTGCTGCAAAGCATCCGAAACGTCGGGCCGAAGTTAAAAATCATTTTCAAATAAGTTTAACTAATATATCGCGTTTTAAACCGTTAAAGTGTTTTATTAAAAAAAAATAGTTTTTAACTACTTCAACGGTCCAATCTTATCGTGATTAGCAACATTGTATTTCTTCATTTAAATATATTTTAATAATAATGCAATACGTTCTTAAATAATATAAACCTGATATTTCTAATTTCAGAACCAATATCTGCTCAATACCCAAAAAACAAGAAAACAATCGACGAACTTATTCAAGAGGAAAGTAAACGTGCCCAAAAACGTGCTACCAAACCGATATCCGGTGATACGAGCAAACGTAACAACTTAGAAGCTCTTTTGGGAAATTTGAAGCGTAAATTAAGTACAGTAACCACCGAGACAGATAATCTAATTAATAATATAGCAGATAAAGAGACGCAGGATAATCATAGACAAGATGATAAAAAAGATGATGATAGTAGAGATAATATTGTTAGTAATAACCAAAATGTGACAGCGGATGAAATTAAGTTACTAGATGTAATAGATCTAATATCGGATGAGACAGATGACGAAAATCTGAATATGACGGTAGATAGCGACTCTTTATCATATTTGGAGAATACAGAAATTCCTATGCTATTCGATGAAGCATAGTATAATTTGTGATATAATATGTTATACTGTTACATACGGATGTTAAAAGGGGGGGTATTACATCCATTACGAGAGGTCGAGAAATAATAGGCCAGCACATAGGTCGATAGTGCATCTTGTTTAGATGCATAGCGATGTTATATATCGGGGGTGTTTCACCTTCCATTAAGTGAAGTTTATGCATTAGGATAGATCTAAGAAAAATAAATCTACTTGAAGTATTAAAGCCTACATTTGCCAATCCATTCAAAGCACATGTACACATGTCTTGCTTGTCATGCTTTTAAGCTAATTATGTCATCAATACAGTGAGTTTCATATTTCCAACGCAGTCAATATCCTAATCATGCATAGTAAAAGGGGAGAGAAAATCCCCCTCCCCCTTTACTAAGATTTCGTTCTTTACAATCTTATTTATTGTGTAGTGATACTAAAACGTGTTGCGGGTATTCAAATATTTGTTAATATATTATGAACATTCCTTCACCTGGCTTGAAAGTTACATATTAAAAGTCAAATGGGAAATTAAATTGTGAAAGACAAAGTCAGTGTGTTTATTTATTTAATACCCATGTTCCAAAGCGAGAATTCTTGCTGTTCCGTTTTGCGGGTAGTTTTTGAATTCGATGGACAAACGGCGGAAGAGGCTAGCGAATGCTACCTTTGTTGTGTTTAAATCAGCTCCCGTTATGTTGACGCAGACGAAGCTTATCATGCTGTTCTTGTTCTGCTGTGGGTTAATATATTTTTTATAATTTTAAAAATTGTTAAAACTTAAAGTCAAAAGATGGCCTATATGAATCTATAAAAGACTTATAATTAGATTCGACGACGGTCGAAGAAAACCTTCTGGACTTGATACAATGTTACTATTCATCTTTTTCTAAATAAAGGCTTTATTATCATTATTTAAGAGCTATCCGGCCTTCGCGTTGTAACGCTGCTTCGTTGGTTCAAAGGAGGATGTAAAAAATTGTGAAGATCGTCGAGTAGTTGGTTCGATTTCGACAAAGTGAAACAGTTTAAAAAAATTTTTGACACATGTTGGAACTTTAGATTACGCGAAATCGCTTTCTCGCGTAATCTAAAGTTCGTCTCGACAGTACTTGAATGTTGCCATCGGTTTCCAGAGACAGTATCTCCAAAAAAGAAACATAATAAAATGGATCTCACTGGCAGCGTCACGTTAAAGTTCAAAACGCCTTCTGGTAGAACGTGCGTCGTATTGTAGAACAGCTTAGAATAGTTCCATGACGGGTTGCCTAAAAACCACCAATAATTTATTGGAGTAATATTTTATTTGGATCCCTAATTTAATGTATACCGGCTAGTAGGGTACTTTAAAAAATAAGAATTCGTTCATTAACATAAAGACTTGTACACAATATACAGTAAAAACATAAATAAAACATTTTTAAATATTGTCCTAAAAGCATCAAGCTCGTGTGTTGAAAATCAGAGCTACTCAGTGTATTTTGTTAAGCGCTGATTTTCAGTCTGTCCCTTATCATATAATAATCAGTCCTGCAAGATTTAAAGCATCGAGGAAATATTGTGGAACGAACGCTAATAAAAACGACTAACTTCTACTACTATGTTCATGGTAGATGGTGAATATTTATTGAATACAACTCGAAACCTCGTGATCAGTAAATAAAAATTATCTATTAAATGAGCTTACAAAACTTACCGAACGAATAATCGCACGTATAGTTAGTGCATATTACTATGCCAAGTAGAAAAGCAAAGTAAACTGGCAACACACACTTCATCTTTCAGCTTTGATTAGGAAATTGCAGCCGTCCTAAATATATGTGCGTTTTGGAAAGGCGTGCTAAATTGGTCCACCGTTTTCATTAGATTAATCACATTTATGATTTATTGACAAGCTAATTAGTTCAAGAATTAAGATTTATTTCTATTAATTAAACAGAATTGAAAATGTATTTTACATATGCAAAGAACTCTAAGTCTAGGGTAGGGTAGTTTTAAATAAAATGCATATTTGTTAAAATATTGTTTTAAATTCAGTACATAAATTCATACATTCACACGTTCACGATCAAACAATTTATTTACAGGTTTCACGAATAATTTACTATACATTTTAAATATTAAAAATCTCATCGAACTGTGTCCATATACCCATTTCGATATCCTTAAGTACGCGACTATTTAAGTTTTAATAATTGTCGTTAAAATCGATAAATATTTTGAGGTATCGTTTGGAGACAATCAACCGTAGGTTTGAAGATAATTTTTATTCGCACTAAGAAATTATGACAGTGATCAAAGTATACTGACTCGTAGAGAAAGTTGAGAGCTAAATTAGGCATTTACAGACATTTACTTTTTAATCATTGCCATTATTTCTCGGTTACATTGGGCCAGCCAGATCAAAGTTGCTTACACAAATCAAGGTTACAAAAATTAAGTTTTAACTATAAGTATCATTCGCTAATAAAATAAAAATATACAATAACATTCAAAAAGTAACATGGACGGTAATCGAATCAGCGAAGCGAAATATTGGAGGCAATTAAGTCGCATATGATTTATGCCGGTCTTCAGTATTGCCCCCGAGCAGTTCAAAGAAGCCGTCTTAATAATAAAGATGGCGGGTGTTAAAAAATCTTTAGCTCTTCTAGACAATAATAATAACAAAGAAGTAAAAAAAAATTAAGAGTTCTCAATAATAATATAGCTCCACTTAGTTTCCATTTAGTTTCAAAAAGCAACGAAGCTACACGCAGGAATCAAACCAGCTACCAGTCTACATTTATGGCATCAACAGTCCCTTATCTAACGCCACTATCGCTAACGATATATTTATTTAAATGAATGTTATAATTGTTCCATCAAATTATTTTTCGCAAAAAAACAAATAGTCGTTTTTGACAGTTTGTTTGATTTTGACATTGACGAGTCAATTATGTGTCAATGTTAAGCATTGAGGAGTAATTCGGTTTCAAAGTGGCTTGAAAAAATAAGAATAGATTTTTGCAACTGCCTGAATTGAACAAAGAAAAAAGAATGTTTTTTTTTACGTTTTGAATTTTATCCAGTTAAATCAGTTCGAAGCCCAAGATTCGGTCAGACACTAATAACTTATATTTAAGTTAGTTAACGACATATAGTAAGTTAACGAAAATTAAGCACCATTTTACAATTAAATCAGATAAAATCTTTAATACTGTGAGAAAGTACGAAAGATTCGTGCAACGTAGCCCATTAATGGTTTTTACGTTTCGTGGTTTTTTAGTTGTGACTAAGTCTTGATTCCTCCATTTCCATTTTCAGTACAAAATACTCCATAATGTTGTCAATAATAGGATGATATTTTGGTACAGCCTTGGCGCGTCGCAAGCCAGGAAGTCATTTGGATACAAATTTGGTGGCGGCGCCTCCTCTCCGCCTTTGCAGTACTCGTTGCGCGACTGAAAGCAGTTACGAATTATACTGATATTAAAAATGTGAGATGTGGAAGTATATATCGTCCTATTTGACGTGGAAGAGTCTGAAGCAATCTTGATAATATGTTTAATAAGATTGGAAGTAATCTAAATACTGTCTGTAGTTTAAACTTAAATTTTTTATAAATTATTTTGAAATACGGTCACGGGTGAAGAGGCCTGTTTGATTTATATTACTCGCGCAAACTACATACAATTCTAACGGTTTAAAACTCGAAACTTTTTACTAAGATATTAATGTTACCCTCCATGTTTAATCTCTTTGTGACCACGGCGATTGCAAAGCACGAGAAACGTGGGCCATAGTTAAAATAATTTGTAAGTTAGTTGAACCAATAAATTTCGCGTCCTAAACCGTTATAGAGTTTTATTTAAAAGATTTAGAAATTACAGATTACTATACACGACGTGCGTGCTTTACGTTGTGTTTTTTAGTAATTTCATAAGTAGCCCCTTAACAGCTCCCACTTGTGAGGCTCGGGTATCTTGGTGCCCACCAAAGGCTAAGTTACTAACGAAATGCCTCAACAAAGATAGATATTTCTGTGTCCAGGTAGTAAACTCTATGAGTAACGGAAAACATAAGGCTTCAAACCACTAAACCAACATGACTCATTCATGTACCATACTAAGAATTTAGTTAATCATAAAATTATATATGTATAAGAGTATATTTAGTAGATATACATGTACTTACAGCGAATTCCTCTCCACACATTTCCCTACACGGCGGACAGACCACCCCGCCCTTGTGTAGCCAGCCCTTCTGAATTATTCGCACTTGCAACACTTGACCCGCGAAATAACATGTGTACGTGTAGTTGCCAACCTGAAATAATAATGAGTTAAAGAAAAACTGATAACAGAAACTTGCACAAAATGTTACAGATGCATTATATATCTGGCTAAGCCCTCACTATCATAAACATCATAAATTCTTAAATATTCAGTTATTTTGCAAAGCCTTGGTCCAACCAAAACTTCGACTTAAAGCAAGGCTAAAAATGGGTCATAAACATAGAGCTAGATTATTTTCAAATTAAAAAAGGCCGTGGCGCCAACTATCCGTCACACAACCAAACAATGAACCTTCAAGGCAAAACTGTTTAGATAACATAAGAATATTTTGTAACAAAAGCTTATTAAAAGATGTTTCAAGACACTTCAAATGTTCAAAATTATATTGATATGAGGTCAAAAAGGAAAAGACTTACTATAATGTGTAGACGTCCACTGTCGCACTTGTATTTATAGCAACCGGAACCCCAGTGTTGCCATTCCCTGATCTGTAAATATCCAAGATAACACCTTAAAAAGAGAGTAACGTGATAAGGGAAAAAAGATTTTGTCTGCTAAAACTTGGCAATAAGAAGAGTTGGCGTCGAGTCTTTTGCCATTTTTTGTGACTCCCTGTATATCAAATCGTAGAACATTTTTTGCTATTGTATGCAAAACCTAGTAGATGTACTTTCATCGATTTCCCGACAGTGAATAGATGATTGTTATATATTTCTAGAAATCTTTACCTGGTTATTACTTAATAAGAATTCTAATTAAACGCCTTTGGGGGAACGGGCTAATTTCACATTTCGTTTTTTTGTTTTGGTTAGTGAGGTACTTATCAAATAATTTTTCATTATATTCACAGTCTAGGCAGGCAAACATTATTTTTTTATAAAGAATTAATAATATTTTAGAGTAATCTTTATTATTGTATAACAATATTTAATAGTACTGATTATACCTCTTAGTGTATTCAACTTTACCTGTCTACACGATTTCTGCTCCCACACTCTGTCGCTGTGATCGAAGCACTTCGAGTGAGGTCCGTAATTTTCTAATGCAAAATTGACGTCAGTCTCTGAAACGAAAAATGTAATGAGTTACAGAAACTTGAATATTAAAGTTGTATGTAACCGCCTTGTTACGACCAGAACGGCGGTGCGAACGGCGACGCTAATAGGGAAGCGACCATTCGCTCGACTAAGTAACCCGCTCTAATACATGCTTTTGACTCGCCATTCGCATCGCCAGTCGCCATTGCGATTATAGTATTTTGTTAAACAATGTTTCGTTAAGACACGGACTTTTGACGGGAAATGTACACCTAAAATAACAGACCCAATACCCGTTGATTCGTTGACCCGTTCATTGGGTTTATATTATTTCTGATATATGTTGGAGATGAAGCCGTGAGTTTTAATTGCGTTCTATTCCCGAATATCCAAAGCAAACATAGGCCGGCAACGCATCTTGTTTATCTAACATCTGTTACATACTGGGGCAGTTCAGCTATAACAATTCCACTATAACAAAAAGAGGCTTTAACCATTACTTATACTTATTGAATTTCCAGCCACAAATGACTGTCGTGGACTCCCTATAAATATATTTCGGTCACTCAGGGCACAGAAGTCTGAGCTACTTGTTTGCAGTAAATGATAATTCACTGATGAAAACGAATGTGTTACTCACTTGGTGTATTCTCTTCGTATGAACATCTACTGCCTCTGAGGAGAACGCTTTTGTGCTTCCACGTAAACTCCTGGAGGTAAGGGCAGTAGTCTGCGAGGGACACTGAGCCACCATAGTGCGCTTCGTCACCGGCGGGTACGTTCGGCAGAGTGTCGAAGTGCTGGAAGAATAAAAGTGAAATTTACAATTGATAAGATCTTTTCAATTCAAGGTTTCGACCGAAACAAGGTAAAGAGAAAAAAACAGATATAACGACACTGTAAGGGCTGTACTGCTCGTTTGTTAACAAACTCAATCCTTAATCGTAACGTCAATAGTTTTGCGCGAGTGGTACACATTTAAATAAAACACTTTTAACGGTTTATTACGGAACATATATCAGTTACTTTTAAATTATTTTTACTAGGGCCCGACGTTTCGGATGCTTCGCAGCTGCATTCCCGTGACTACATACTAATATATTTCGCGTTTTAAACTGTAATTTTATGAACAATATACATACATGGTATTAATTGTATCGTGCCGTAAAATAAAACACTTATAATGGTTTGAAACGCGAATTATATTTCACACTGTAACGTTAAATTGTATAATTTCAAGTTCAACGTTATCTTATGCTGCGAACATAAGACATTGAACCTCAATACCTGTGAGTTAAAATTTCAGTGAATACCAACGTACCTGGTATTGCCTTGGCAAGATATTGTCGTGTCTAACTAGATTACATAAGACGACGGCGTTTCGTCGTGGCGAACATTCGGTGCGAAGTGGTTCGCCCTTGATGCGTTCACAAAATGGCGCTGGGTTTCGTCGCCTGGAATGTAAAGTTAAATAAAATCATTTTTTTATCATAGAGGACAGTGGAATACCCAAACCATATAACATAGCACGATATTATATTATATTTTGGCTTTGGATATTCTAAAATCCACAGGCTGTAACTTTACGGTTTCATCTGTATTGGTAGTTTGTGAATCGGAATTTAATATCCAGATTTCCAGACGAAGTCCAATATGTTACAACCAAAGCTCTAAAAATCATATCAAAAAATACATTGACTAAAAATCGAATCTACGATCTACCAGTTACAATGTATTTGTTAACTTACATTACTTCTGTTCCATTGCAATCGCTTGTAAAACAGTAAATAGTTATACAGACATATTTTTGTATCCGCATTGAATGCTTGTTAGTTTCTTAGACTTTTCTGTGTCTCCTTTGCTAATTTTATATATTGGCATGTAGGTGTTAAGAATTCTGTGCCCCAATTGACCGAAATATCATGTTTCGTTAAGATTCTTAGGTCTAACCAACAAAGTGGTAAAAATTATCTACCCACTATATCCCACAACTGGGCATGTCTCGTCTCAAATAAGGGAAGGTTGTTAAAAACTCAGACCCACCATGTTGATCCAGGTTTTACCGACTACCGCCACTAAATTACTATACTACTACAGTATAACGCAGGTAAACTTACTCAGTCGAATTATCCACGCTGCTTGTAAGTAAAAATTAATATCTGTTATGACAGAGGAGGGATGACAATACCTAAACATCAACTAAACAATTACATATATAAAAGTAAATTACACAATTTAAATCAAATGTATATTTGTAATATATGTACATTTATCTGACTTTACATAAGAATAACGTAGTAATTACAAACGTACTCCCGGTTACCTTATCTTGCCAAAAATAAGACCAAATTATGGCCACAAAATGTTAACATTTGGCATGGAGCGCAGTTGTCTAACAATCTCCCATCGCACCTCAAACGTCTGTCGACCCGGGGGGGGGAAAAAAAAAAAATTTCCCCCCGGGGGTAAAAAAACCCCCCCGAAACCCAACCCCCCCCCCTTTTGAAAACTTTCCCCAGGGGGGGGGCCCCCCTTGTTTTTTTTTTGAGAAATATATTATTTTGGCTTTAAATATTTGAAAATGCACAGGCTGAAACCGAAAAGCGATTACACTTGACGGTTTCGTCTGTGGACAGTGATCCGTTACCCGGACGTAATCTTAATAGTCCTACCACCAATTTGATAGCCAGCTTTCCAGAGGATGTTTCAGAAAAGACCCGGTAAGAATCTAATCTACGACCCGTTGATTATTAACAATTTATGTTACCATTAGACCAACGAGTCAGTGAATAATTATCTTTTAACAGTAAATAAGAGTATTAATATCAATCTAGAAGGTTCAAAAGATATTTGTAAAAATATTTTTTTAAGGGGGAGATTCGGTTACCAGACTCCACTGTCCAGGTCTGGACCAGGAGTCGTCAACAATCATTGTAATAACTTCTATAGATGCAAAAAGTATAAATTAAATTCCACTCGTCTATTAGGTATGGGGCGAACAGTTTTTTGTGTCCGTTACAATTTGACTTCTGTGCCCTGCCTGAACGAAACAAATTTTTGTTTTGCTTGGATCGTCCCATGCCCCACGAAGGGGAAAACGGGAATTCACACATTGAACCAAGTGTGAATCATTATGTTTGAAAACCCGATTCTTTATAATGGCCCAGAATCCCCTTTGCGCGAGGCAGACTCGGCCTCAATCGGTCTTTTTATTTAAGACTAACTAATACTACCTTAACCTTTGCGTGTTGAGCCATTGCTTGCATGACGTGGTCGCGAAGGCGCATCCCAAATTCTTGCCCCAATGCAGCGGGGTGGATAGCTCATAGTTCGCCCTGTACCAGCCGGTGTCTTCCATCATGGCGAACGTGATCCTGCTGAAGACACTGTTTTGCGTGTGAGTACCCGTCATGGCTTCGTTCTGGAACCGAAAACGATTGTGAAAATCGATGGTTGCCCATTTCAGGCCATATGCGGACCATGGCCTTAAAACAATAATAGTCCAATACTGTCTGTAGTTTACGCGAGTAGAACACATTTAAATAAAACACTTTAATGGTTTAAAACGCGATATACAGGGTCTCCCAAGAAGTAGTGTCAAGCGGAAGTCCCAAGATAGAACACCCCTTGGAGCATCCAAAACACCCCCGTGTATGTTCTGCGATTATTTATAGTTTTCGAGTTACGAATTTTTTTCTAAAATTTTGATGCCGAAACAACTAACGATAAGCTTTACAAAAGGTGATAAGACTTTTTCTAGATTTTTATTTCGCAGCTTAACAAAGCATGAGTTGTACATTAATAATTAAAACATTTGTCTTCGTAACCTTAACGGAATCAAAAATATGATGGTTCAAATGAAAAAGTTACGAGCCGTGAACTGCGTCTTAAAATTTCAACTTAAAATTTAAAAATAATAGAAAGCTTCGTAGCTCTTAAGTTAGTTTAGAAACTGCTGGGAGAAACACAAGCTTAATAATAATAAAAAAAAGGCACAATAATATTTGCACACTTTTGCCAATACCCCTCCTCCCGAAAGGGGGGGAGGGGGAAAAAAAAAAAAAAAAAAAAAAAAGGGAAAGGAAAAAAATCCCCCCCCAAAGGGGAAGAAAAAAAGGAAAAAAAACCTTTTAAAACATTTTATTATTTCTGTAGACAATTCGATTGTTAACTAACTAAAATCTACCGAGGGAGCGCTAAATAGCAAACACGTTAAAAAACAATTAGCACAGCCAGATGCAAATGTCAGAATTTACTACGACTGGATAGAAGTAGGCACAATACTATGCACACTTTGCCCCCGCCTCACCCCTTTGTGGCCGCCCTGTAAACTAACTCAGGTAGTAAATTCTGACATTTGCATCTGGCTGTGCTATTGTTTTTTACAAAAACCAGATGTTTGCCATTTAGCGCTCCCTTAGTAGATTTTAATTAGTTAACAATCGAATTGTCTACAGAAATAATAAAATGTTTAAAAAGGTTTCAAATCATATATAATTTAAAAATTACTTTAAGAATCCAAAGAAAACAATATCGTTGCCAAATGGCTATTTATTACTTTTTTACACCTATCTTGTGTATATATACGTAGTCCTTTTTTTTTAATGATAATGAAAGCTGAGAGTCTGGCGCAGTTTTTAAACTAACTTATGAGCTACAAGTCTACCTATTAATATTTTAAATTTAAAGTTGAAATTTTAAGACGCAATTCACGGCTCGTAACTTTTTCACTTCGAACCATCATATTTTTAACTTCCGTTAAGGTTACGAAGACAAATGTTTTAATTATTAATGTACAACTCATGCTTGTTAAGCTGTGAAAAAAAATCTAGAAAAAGCCTTATCACCTTTTGTAAATTAGCGTTTTAGTTGTTTAGGTCAAAAATTCTCAAAATTTTAGAAAAAAATTCGTAACTCGAAAACTATAAATAATCGCAGAACATAGTACATGGGGGTGTTTCGGATGCTCCAAGGGGTGTTCTATTTTGGGACTTCCGCTTGACACTACTTCTTGGGAGACCCTGTATATTTGTGAAACGTATTTGAAAAATGTTTTTAACTTTGAAAGCTTTGCAGCAGCCGTGGTTACGGTGATACTACCGCGACCACAGGCCAGCACAGGTTTTAAACCGTTAAAAACACATTTAAAACGCAATATATATTCTTTAAATTTGGTTTAATTTAACCACGGCCCGACGGAACCATGGCTGCTGCAAAGCAGTAATATATTTTCCGTTTTAAACCGTTAGTGAAATAGAACGCATTTGAACGTGTCTACTCGCGTAAACTAGACTTTTTAAATTACCTCAAAAACTCGTTTCTCCCAATGTGTCAGGGCGGTTCCATCTCCGCCCTGGTCTTCCAGTTCAGCGCCCTCTAGCGTCGAACAGTTGAAGTGTTCTCGGACCTTGAGTAAGAAAAAAATCATCATCACACCAAATTACATAAACGCGAATATGCGTTCACAGTACATAAAATAAAAAGATAAAAATAATAAATAAAAAAACTAAATTGTATTTAAGGTGCACTATGGCATCATCTGAAATTAAAGATGTAATTTCAGATTTAATTAAAATACTTTTGACCGTTTTAACGTACAATATATCAGTTACATACAATTAATTTTAACTACAGCCTCTCGTAGCCACTGACCACGTCCGCTACAACACACTCGCTTTAAAACAACTAATATATTTCGCGTGTCCAACCGTTAAATTTTTTTTATGCAAATGCTTATAACGTCAGTTTACCTCCTTAACCACTCGCGGAGTTACAATCATGTGAAATATCCTCTCCATGTAACCGCCCCTTATCATCCATTTCTTTCTTGTTATGTTCCGCACGACGCGGTCTGACCACTTGTGGATCTGTAATCTATGCAAAGAAAACTATAAACCGTCTTCATGTAGACTAATATTTATTTTATAGTACGGAAGGACTGTAAAGCAAGGGTTTCACCTGATGGAAGGCGAATTAGCCGCCTCATAACAACTCTTCAAGATGCGCTGGCGTTGAAATTTTTTATAATAGATACGCGATTAAACTTCAAGCCTTTTTTATCTTTGGACGATGGTTCATGACCAGGCGGAATTTTCATATTCCTACCATCCATTTAATATCAAGGCGAAGTCCATTATAATTGAGAAAAATTAAAAAATAATTAGAAATTGGACACCTCGTTCATTATTAACCAAACTGCCATTATGACTCCAACGAGGCCGTTGTTATTATAAAAGTGTTTGTCCTTCCTTCGTGCCTTAACTAAGCCAAAGTTACCTTAAGATATGAAATGTTGGTATTTTTAGTCACCGTATAACCCCGAACGGTTTATGTCAAGTTAAAATAAGAGAGGAGACTCTAGCTAGATCTTAACATTTACTTACTGTTCGTCTAACGGCGGGTTACCAGTATCTGACCGTCTCTCCGTTAATGGGTTGCCATTTTCATCTCTGAAATTTGACATTTGTATCGTTAAAATTTACAGCAGGATTGCCCGTGTATAATCTTTTAAAATATTGATCTGTATTTTGCAAAAAAACATATGTATAGTCTGTATTAACAGTCACGTTTCGAATATTTAAAAGTAATTCTGATATTGGTTTTTGGTTAGTCATACAGACACTATGAAAGGTGTACATCTTTCTTATCTACTTGGAGGTAACCTCTCATTTGGGGGGGAGATACAGATACCCCCCATCTAAGCTCCTACAAGAATTGTGCTTCTTTATAAATTATTTTACATAAAAGAGGTAGTGCAAAGGCGACCTTATCGCCTATGGCGATTTCTTCCAGGCAACCTTTGTATACAGAAAAAGAAAACAATACAACAATTCATAAAACAAAGAGTGGCAGTAATTTTCGACTTTTATTTAGAAAAGTAAATATGGTATTGAATTTGGTTAGAGCGATTATACATGTACCAGAAACCCATAAAAATCAAATACCTGTAGAATCCAAAAAGTGACACGCTGAAACCAAGCGCATGCAACATTTCATGTTTGACAGTAGACAGCACGTGGGGTAGATCCCTGTACCGGGTCGACAGTTCTCCCGGGCAGAAGTTCGCGTGACCAGCCACCGGCCTGGGGATAAAAGTAATGTTAATACCTCTCGTAAAATCACCACAATAATGACATTGGTTAAACGTATTGCCTAGCATTGCGTTAAGCGCGAGAGGTCCTCGGTTCGAATCCCAGGGAAACAAAATATTGTTACGGCATGGCACTGAAGCCTGATCAACTACTTGCATGTTAAACAACGGATCCGTGAAACAGACACAGAAATGTGTTCGCCCCATGCTCCACGAAGGCGAAACGAGATTTCACACACAAATTAGAATTCTTTATTCTTTAATATTATTACTTGAAATCTATGTACTAGTTAACCTCACCTGTCTAAAGCAGATTCTTGTTGGCAGTGCGATGCGTACGCGACGGTCAGGCCACGCCTACATCGTTCCGTCTCTACCGCACTCACGTACAACACGAAGTCGGTGTCTTCTATACCGATTGGTTCTTCTACAAGTCCAGATAGAGAAACCATTACATTATAAAGCCGAAGAGTTAAATACTGTCTGTAGTTTAAATAAAACACTTTAACGGTTTAAAACGCGATATATTGTAGTTAAACTTTTTTTGAGAATTATTTTTAATTTTTTGCAGCAGCCGTGGTCAAGGGGAGACAAAAGATGGGGGATGTCTCTGACGTCAAAGTAGAACAGATAGCGCTAGCGTAGCAATTTTTACATTGACTAGGAATAAAAATAGGCGATAATCAAAAACTGTCTGTAGTTTACGCGAGTAGTACACATTTATATAAAACATTCCTTATAAGTAATAACTAACAATTTCCTAATAACTAATATATCACGTTTTAAACAGTTAAAATGTTGTATTTAAATAACAGATAATTGTAGTCACAATTACCTAATATTTCTTGGGACCCAGTATCACTACTTTCAGTCGTAGTGACGTCATCTTGCGTGTTGACCGGTTGCCATGGCAACTTGCGACAGTCGTGGCCCGTGTTGTTGCAGACAAAGCAGGGCTGAAAAATAATGGACATTATATTAATGTTGAGCTAAATTAAATATCGACTTAAATTTAAAAAAAAGACAAGGCCGACACTCGACCCGGCATCCACACTTTGGCTTCACTTTAACAAATTAAGTAAAAAGTTGATATTACTAAACAAGGCTTAAATCTTATTAGTATACATGAGTCCCAGCTGTAGGAATTGGTTATAACATACTTATATATATATATAATACTGGATGGTAATTTACAAGACGACTTAGCGTAAAACAGTTTTAATATATAATAAAGTTAAAATATTATAATAATTGTTATATATATATAAGAGGCTGCTAGAGACAGAGTGGCCTAATAAATTTCCAATAACAAGGAAAATAAATATGCACAATTAACGTAGGTGATAATTAATTTGTACCATTATTTTTGTAAGAACTATGTTAACAATTTTCGGTCACTGTGCTCTTATAGATTAACATTTTGAAACTATGAAATATAAATAAGTCATAAAATTTGCAGTTAAGCTACTCTGCCTCTATCGGACTCAATTATGTTAAAGGAATTTTATATTTCGGTAAAAAGTTGGTCAATGCTTTATCAATCGTTGAAAATAAACCAATTCTCGCGGTCAATAAAAACTACATTGATTTTAAATTGATTTACCGTTTTCACTTCGCAAAATGTATTTTGTGAATTGGTTCCACCTAGGTAATTTGTTTGTTTGTACGTTGACTAGTAATTGAGTAAACTACCTTTATATATAAATATTGACGGTAAAAATGTTTCACACTAAATATTTCAATGAGGTATTTGACAAAAACGATTTTTTTATTGTTTTATAATTTCATATTTGAATAAAACACTTTAACGGTTTAAATCGCGATATATTAGTTAAACTTATTTGGAAATGATTTTTAAATTCGGCCCGACGTTTCTAGCTAGCGTAGCAATTTTTTACTTTGACGTCAGAGACATCCTCCATCTTTAGCCTCCCCGTGACCACGGCCTGCTGCAAAGCTTCCGAAACATCGGGCCGAAGTTAAAAATAATTTCCAAATAAGTTTAACTAATATATCGCGTTTTAAACCGTTAAAGTGTTTTATTTAAATGTGTACTACTCGCGTAAACTATAGACAGTATTTCATATTTGTATGTATATGTATGTATACATTTTCACATTAATACGAAATTTTAATAATATTTTACGAATGTTTGTATTCTTCTAGTTTTATTTACGTTACCAAAATTAAAACAAGTTTAAGCCTCTAAATAAAACAGTGTAACGGTTTAAAACGCCGTATGTTTTAGTTAAACTTATTTGAGGAATATTTTTAACTACGGTCCGACGTTTCGGATGCTTTACAGCATCCGTGGTCACGGGGAAACCCGTTTTATTTAAATTGTACTACTCGCGTAAACTACAGACAGTGTTTAAGTTTTAGCTTTAATTTAAGTTACGTATTGCATTTGCATATTTGTCATGATTTTAGGCGTCACATTACTTCTTTTAAAACAAATAAAGTGCCTGGTGCTGCTAACGGCGAACGTCGAAGACATAAAAAGGATAGCCCAGAAATTCGTTTCAGAGAATCTGGCGGAAAAGCTGACAGATTTGATTTTGAAAGCCACTGCGAAAGACATCGATATTTCCGTGGAAAACAATGAAAATGGTGAAAAGGTTCACGATCTGTCAGGTACTGAAAAGACATGCATGGGGTTCGCTCGAGACAATATGAAAATACCGCAGCTGTCGACCCTTTTTGACTTTGGGTTTTAAGAAAATTACAAAATGAGCCTGAAGAGCGATAAAACTCCACGGCCTTTTCACCCGTTCACGGAGGTTCAGTTCGGGCGATTTTTCTACCACCCATTTAATATCCAGATTTCCAGAAATTCAATATTGATTAGAAACATCTTGGACCCGATGGGAATCGAACTAAGGACCACGATTACTACCATTGCTACTATTAGACCAACAAGCCCTTTAAATTGTATATAGAGGAAACAACACCGTTTCTCATTTAGGGATGAAAAGACGTTTAGAACACACTTCTGTGGCCGTTTCACTAATCAATGGTACTTAAATTGGATTCGAACCCAGGATCATTGGTGCTTAACACGACTAGGTACCTCGTTCGGTTATTGAGCCACTGATGCGACGGTCATAGACAATGTGACGACCTTATACGCCAAACATATAGACTTGTTTTTCAGCAAATGAGTACAACATGATCACATCCAAAAAACCGAAACCAACCAGCGCCATCTATCGAGACAAGAAGACTCGTTTCAATTTGAAATCTGCGCGTGATTCGGTCGAACTAAAACCGAAGCCAAAACAGAATCCTTACACGTTTAACATACAACGTATCAAGGACTACAGAAGCCGATTACACAATCGTGATAATGAGATTTTGCATAGAGCGAACACGTTGACGACTAAAGTTGAGAGAAACGAATTCGATCAGTACGATTACAAGAAGTCTCCGCAAGATGGCGTTATAGCAACTAGTGGTGTTGTGGCTTTGACTAAAGGCCCTGGTAGTTCTAGTGAGAATAAAGATTACAAGTGAAATTTGGTTTTACGTTACGACCTATGTATTAATATCCCACAACTGGGACTTTCCCGCATAAGTAAGCCCACCATGCTCTTTCATTGCGGACTGGCGGGCTTTAATTTAAACTGCTGTTAAATTAGTGACATCCAGAACGGACTCGTTAAAGTATAGTGTTTTTTTTAACCTGGCATTTTTGGTAAACAAACAGACAATTTTCACACAACACTGAATTATACAACTAAATATAACTAATAAATGCTAACATTAATAAAAATCCTACAAATTACTTTACGTAAATTTGTTTTGCCGTGGTTTTTTGCCAAGTTAGAAAAAAATACACTATATGTAGATACTCTTTGGGGCACAGGGTGTGATTCCTACTATTTCATCCGACGCAAGATTCAAACCCAAGACCTAGTGATCTGCAGTCGAGCGTACTCGGCACCAACAGAGTAAAAATTTTAGGTACTGTTGGAATACTATTTCTCACAGTCTACTTGGTACTGTCAAGTTAAATTCCAGAATACCTCTAATCAAAAGACAATACTAATTGATTGACTTACAACACTCACATTTAAATAAAACACCTTAACGGTTTAAAACGAGATATATATTAGTTAAACTTATTTTAACTACAGCCCGACGTTTCCGATGCTTTGATTAGCGTGGTCATGGGGACACTAAAGATGGAGGGTATCTTTGACGTCATAATTAAAAACTGCTACGCCTTCTGTTCCGTCGAAGTTGGTATTTGGCGAAACTGGCCGGGTCCTTGCGAAATTGACTAACGGTGTCTTCGCGTTTAAAACCGTTAACAATACTTTATTTAAATCGTAAAACTACTCGCGTAAAATACAGACAGTATTTAATCACTCACATTCAAATGCTCTTCTGGGACCTTCACTTCTCCGCACATGGTCTCCGCGCTGCAGGCATCGATGCAGTGAGATTTCCCGCCTCTAATGAAAACTTGGCGTGTAGGGCATTTTCTGAAACAACCATTTTCCATGTTGTAACATATTATTATGTTAACATATTTTCTGTTGAATTCGTTTCTTCCACTTGGAAAGGAATTTGCGGAGTCGAAAACAAAAACAATATTCTTATTGTCACAAAACATGTATTGTGTATCTTTTCCAAATAAAAAAAAAAAAACGTAACGATAAATAAAATTGATGGAAATTAAAAACAAACGGCGGCGTTATAGCTATCTCTTTTAAGCAACCGCGGTGAAAAAAGGAAACTCCGTATTAAACAATGTACGCGTGATAGCAGAAAATGGTCCTAATAACAAAAATAATATGAGAGAGCTTAATCTAAAAAAACATCTCAACAGAGGTAAATGAGAGTCTTAAGATGTACAAAATTAAACAATATTGTGTTACAAAAAGTTGCGTAAGCCAGGTACATAGTAGCATATAACTACGATTGACTTTTTTATAATAGAGGAAGACAGACCGCGCTGTCGACCTACTTTGGCTTTGGAGAAGAAAAGAGAATAATTGTGAGTGTAGATCAAGAAAAGAGATAATACTGTCTGTCGTATAGTTTACCCGAGTAGGACACATTTAAATAAAACACTTTAACGGTTTAAAACGAGATATATTAGGTAAAGTGTTTTTATTTAAAATAGATAATTTCAATTGTAAAGTAGTCTTACTTTTAAAGAAATATAATTGAATGCTCGTATCACCTTGACATTGTTTGTATTTCGCGTCGTTTCAAAAACATACTGATTCTCAATTTTATCTGCAACACGAACATTGAACGTATATGATAATTCCTGTTATCTGATATCAGACGATGTCAACAAGATTACATTATTACATCGTCTGTAGTGGATGGATTGAGTGCTAGTGAATGTACAAGTTTGATTTTTAACGAAAAATCGTTTGTTTCACTCACGCCAATGTTATATCGTACTTGTGGGAAAGGGACGGAAGTATTTAGTGCTTTGTGAACGAAAATGTAAGTAAAAGGTTTCTTTTTAACGACAAACTGTGCAAAGCTGAGAAGTTTGTTAAAACGTGTTAATCTCAGAATTTAAAAAATCTAACTTAAAATCATTTATTTCACGTTTATCATAACATATTTTCAAGATACATACAGTAAAACAAAATTAACCTTAATTTTATCTTAATAACTGTATGAAATATACTTAATTAATTATTGAAAAAAAATTTAGATTGCTTGTGAAAAGGGAGAAAACCCTCGGCACGTGCTTCACCATCCAAGTGTAGAAGGAGAAGCCGGTTTTCAGTGTCCTCATATAAAAAGCAGAGAAATTCTTTAGGGACTTTCGTTGGGTGCGCTGCGAAGACGGTTCAATAAATCAAAAAATATGTCCGACCTCTCTAAATCTAAAAAATCTCAGTACAACTTTGTCTATTTTAATAATAACATTTTGGTCGAATGCATTTTTGTTGTAAAAAAACGTTTGCCGGATCAGTAGTGTGTCAGCGAGTATCGTTATTCCGGTTATCCAAATTCGTCTATTCAAACGCCTTCACCTTTATAAACTTAAGCTGTTTAACCTACAGCGTCGGTCGCGTCCCTTCCCGTCGTTCTTGCAACTTTTTTTTAGATAATTTTAAGAGCGTTCATTCTTTCATACATATTTTTTTGACATCTTGAACCGTTTTTGCATCGTCCGCCTCGGAAACCCATAATGATGAATCATTTTTCTATTTTCTCTCAAATTTCTCGCTAAATCTTCGCTTGTATTAGTCACATGGAAAGGTATGCCTTCCTCGATAAATGCTCTAACCAACAAAAAAAATATTTTTCATCCTCTAACCAACAAAAAAATTCCATATTCGAATCCTTCCGTTCCTGAGATTAGCGCGATTGAACAAACAAACAAACTCTTCAGCTTTATATATTAGTATACATTTATTTCAACTACAGCCCGACGTTTCGGATACTGTGCAGCAGCCGTGGTGACGGTTAATAATTTTACAAACACATTTTCAATACAGTGTTTTATTTAAATAACTTGAGACTATTTTGGTACCTGACACAAAAAAGGGTACATACAAAACATTCTTAAGAAAAACGTAATATGGTCTTATCAGTTATCAATGATAAGATAATATTTATCATCAACCATATTGGCAAAGTAAATAACATTATTTGTGTATTATATTTATGGCTCGTGAGATGACAATTTTATGGTATTGTAACCTGTGTTACTGGCGTCTTTAATATACAACAATAAAAACAGAAAAGACACTACTTGTAAGATTGTTAGACCATCAAAAATGGTCCAGCCATTTTGATTAGATAGAAGTATAAGAGAACTGTTAAAATAATATAAAATTGAGTAATTTTTACACTTATTACTTTAACCAAATTTAATTTGAGTATTTTTTTTTCAAATATATGTTAACTAACAAACACATGAAATTACAACATATTAATTAATATTATATATTATGAATTAAAAAAAAATATACATCACATTATCTTTATATACATTTTCAGGGTGAAATGGCGCAAAGCGAAACGGATCGACCGTATGTGATACAATTCTCGGAGAGCCGACCTCGGTCGGTGAGGCGGCTGTCACTACCTAATACCGTGTATATAGACATACCTGGGGCGAACACTAGTACACAGGTAATGTCCAATTTATAAAATTATTGAAAATACAAGATTTTTTTTTAGTTGAAAAAATGTGTCAGTTTATCTGTACTGTAAAATCAGCATTGTGCCTACTTCCAGGTACAACTAAAGCTGAGATCTGTCCCCCTATACACCCATTTTATTGTATTTTTGTACGTGGATTAAATGATTTATTTCAAAGAAATAATTTTAATAAATACCTTTTCCCGAAATTAACGTTAGATTTTAATTAAAACCAACCAATAAACACAATAAAATTAGCTAGCGCCATCTGTTTGGCTGTAGTTGGTATTTGGAGAAACTTGCTTGGTCCTTACAGAGCTCAATCACGACTTTAGCGTTTTATGTTACGCCGTTCGTTAAGTGTTTTACGTAAACATTGTTTTGATAATAATATTATCTAGTCTAAAAAAAGGCTTTACGGAAAGATCTAGATTTCTAATGCAGATGATTATTTCTTTAGTCTCAAACTACGAATGAAAATGTTCGCGAGGTACGCCCTTTTTGGACACCAGACGTGGAACTAACACAGACTGATGTTGGAAGAAGGGAGACAAGCCAGAACTTTGTCGAGGTATTCATAAAATCGAATGTAGATGTATGTTAAGTATTGCCCGTAGTTCACGCAAGTATACTTTTAATGGTTCGAAACGTGAAATATATTAACAATGACCCGCAGGTGAAAATAAGTTGACTTATGTAAATACTGTCTGTAATTTACACCTACACATATTAGTTAAACTCCCCTTGACCACGGCTGCTGCAAAGCATTCGAAACGTCGGGCCGTAGTTAAAATGATTTACAAATAAGTTTAAGTTTAATATATATCGCGTTTTACATCGTTAAAGGTGTTTAAATACAATACTAATATATCTTTACTGTTTTACTAGGAATCAATTTGTTTGTTACTCTACTTCTTACCACCACCAGAAGGCGCAAGGTGTTAGCAAAATCGTGGAAAAAAAAGAAGTTATATCAACATATAGATATAAACGAAAAGAAATTGCATTGTGTTGTGAAAATTCAGATTACACAAGTAATTGTGTAATCTTCTAGCTCTAGTAATAGAGCAGCTATACGGTCAAGTTTCGAACCCTGCTTGTAACATATTTTTATTTGAAATATTCTTTATTCCCAGGAGACAATTTTCTACGATCCGTTCGACGATAGGCGAATAGATATTACGAAGTGCGCAACTAGACCTGTCCAGGTCTTTCAAACATACAGAGCAGCGCCCTCTTTACCTTCTCCTGAAAGGAGTACAGGTAAAGCTTAGATTAACATTAACTTGAAGCGACCCTAATTATAACAATGATTTGATGAATGATGATCTGAAATAATTCCTGAAAAATGTCTCGCTTGTAATACGCCACATAAGATCGCGTCAGAAAATGTAACTACTATATATTTCAATACAACTCAAATTAGAATAAAATTATTTAAAAGATATTAAATAAAGAAATACAGGTTTTAATCAAAAATAAATTACAGTTGATTTTATTAGATTCATAAGTTTCGACCAGTTTAAACTTGTTTTATTTATTCGGTACTAGAGATTATTTTTAATTTTTATACTCCACTTCCAGCATATCGACCAACGCAACCATACGATATCCAGGCTTCAGATGACGGTTTTAGATTACCCCCTCTACCAGTTCTCGATACTCCAGAACCCCCTCCGGCTTATACGGAAATTGATGAACGACAGAGGGAAACACCGATAGTTAGGACTACCCCAGGTAATTTACTATTTTATCACAGAGGAGGAGTAGGTTCCAATGTAGGGTTTAAGTCGGTATCCGACAAAACTCATTTGCTCCTGCCGATGCGGTGCCGAAAGCATCCCCCCAGATAAAAAATACTAGGGTCATACTACCACCTCATGTACACATGTCAAACCAACACAATCAGACCAAATTACGGCTCGCATAGTGCCTCATTATGTATAGTACAGTGAAACTTGTTAAATAGGACCTGGATCAATTTTACACATGAGGTCCAGGTTTTTTTTCCTTTAAATTACCTCTGTTAAACTTTTTGAACCTGGTTTAATGAGATTTACATCCTATAATTGAGACGCTGTAGCTTAATTACCTGTATAAGTGACACAAGTTGATCAGGTTTTAACACGTTATGACATGTTTGTTTAATTGGAAACCCTCAATAATTGGTACATATGTCTTGGTCTCATGAGATCCCAATTAACCAGGTTCCACTGCATATATTTAAGTGATGTAATAACGTTTCGCAGTGTACAGAGGGCAGCAGTTATCCGGGGAATCACCGAGGAAGCTCATAATATGCCCCTGCTGTAGAATGAGGGTCTACACTATTGTGATAAGGGAGTCTGGAGCTTTGACCCACGTTATAGCGACAATAGTATTTTTTCTGTAAGTTTCTTTGATAACCCTATCCTCTACTTGGGGTATTGGGTATAGGATATGGTATACTTTCTGAGTATGTTTTCATAGATTTTATGTACCCTATAGTAGTGAATCTGAATTTTCCTTCTACCAAAATTAATTATTAAATTTATTTTATGATAGTGCACAGACAAGGATGGGGTTACTTGGAATATGAAATATCTAAGCCATATGCAATATACTTTTTGACTTTGGATATTGGGAAACTCAAAGGCTTTTTAATTTTTATATTCCTACCACAAATTTAATATTCAGATTGACAGATGAAGTGCAACGTTTTTTTAACCATTAAAAATTCATCAGATTAAAGTTGGAATCGGTTGGAACTGACAACCCACGTCTCGCCGGTTGTATGCCATACATTTCTATTCGATTTAGGCCTAGTATTAACTGTCCGTAATTGATCGTATGAAGGTTTTTTATATCGTATAAACATCGATTTAGATTGGTAGTTGGTCGCTACTAAAACGATAGTGGTTAGTGAAATAAATTGAACTAAAAGCTAATTCCAACAATACCGCTAGGTGGCTCTGTTTATACTAGATAACGGAGTTCGACGTAAGATGTGCTTTTCAAAAACGCATAATTGGTACTTTATGAAATAAATTCAGAAACAACATAACGCATTTAAAGAACCCAATATACATATAAGATATTTAAATAAAACACTTTAACGGTTTAAAACGCGATATATTAGTTAAACTTATTTGGAAATAATTTTTAACTTCGGCCCGACGTTTCGGATGCTTTGCAGCAGCCGTGGTCACGGGGAGACAGAATCATTTCCAAATAAGTTTAACTAATATATCGCGTTTTAAACCGTTAAAGTGGTTTATTTAAATGTGTACTACTCGCGTGAACTATAGACAGTATTTACATATAAGATAATAAAAAATAGAGATACCTCTGAAAATGAGATGATTGACCTCCGCAGCCAAATGGTTAAACGTATTGCCTAGCATTGCGTCAGGCGCGAGAGGCCCTGGATTCGAACCACAGGGAAACATAAAATTGTATCGGTCTGGCAGGGCACAGAAGTCTGCTCAACTACTTGCCCGTTAAAAGAACGAATCTGTGAAACGGACACAGAAATATGTTCGCCCCATGCCCCACGCACGAAGGGGAGACGGACCCTCATTTTTTTTTCTGAAAATGAGCCCCATCGGAGGCCGAGCTAACCAATTTAACAGTGTAGAGAACTTCAGAAACCATGTGTTGTCTTTTTCAGTTGTCTGCCTCTAGTGTTCTGCGTGTACCTGACAGAGTTCTTCAAATACAAAAATCATTATTGCCCCAATTGCAACAATATGATTGGATACGAGATTCCAGTTATGTGTACAGAGATGGTATACACGAAGTCATGTGTACAGAACCTCACCTCTGCCCAAGAGTCTTAATCGTTAGCTTTAGCTCTGGTGTTTTTATGATGTGATCCACACATCATTTTATGACAATTGTAGCTTCAATTTAAGGACTTTTAGATGAAACACTTTAACGGTTTAAAACACGATATATTAAACTTATTTGAAATTGATTTTTAACTTCGGCCCGACGTTTCGGATGCGTCGCAGCAGCCGTGGCCATCAAATAAGTTTAACTAATATATTGAAACCGTTAAAGTGTTTTATTTAAATGTGTACTACTCGCGTAAACTATAGACAGTAATTAATATAAGGACTTGTTCTACCAATTCAGCTACCGTGTCAGGTAGAGCAACAGCACGTAACGCTGACGATGCCGGTTCAAGTCCTGCCCAAGTCAAAAAAAAATTCAATTTATTTTCGATTTTTAAATGATATAGTGCCTTCATGTGTTTGACTTTTTAGTTAAATACTGTCAATAATTTACGCGAGTAGTACACATTTCAATAAAACACTTTAATGGTTTAAAACGGGATAATATATTAGTCTCTCCGGTTGCTGCAAAGCATCCCAAACGTCGGGCCAAAGTTAAAAATCATTTTCAAATAAGTTTAACTAATATATCGCGTTTTAAACCGTTAAAATGTTTTATTTAGACTTTTTGGTTCCTATGTATAAATTGGAACAGCTTTAGTTTCCGAGCTGATTGGTCGTCAAAGACAGTCTTCACTTGGTCTTAGACATCTGTATCACGACCACCGAGCAGCTTGAAGCTCAAGAAGCCTACAAAAGGGCCGCGATAGCCTGTTCCCTAAATGTTTTTAGTATTAAAATTGCTTTTTCTAATTACACTAAAACACTTTCGTTTACTTAAACTTAAATTATATACATAAATAAATTAATGTTACCAAGCCTGCTTACTAGTACCGTAACGTAGTACTTTGTCTTATGTAGGCTGATCATTTCTTACAAATAATGTCTTTATTTATTGGGCGGGCATTGTAAAGTTTTGTTACGAAGAAGCAATAGACATCGGCCCGTTAATACATACGTAGGGGAAACATATATATCTATTTATTATTTCTTGGCCAAGGTTTGGTCTCTGGTCATATATTTATTATTACAAAATTATTAAACATATGAAACAACTATACTTCAAGGAAGAATATATATTTTTAATATATTTTTTATAATACTATATGTGATATAGAGTTAACTAGGCTTAATTATAATTTTTCTAAGAATATTTCTGGTCTGGGGCTTGGTAGGTCCCGGTTATGACTACTAATGTGATGTGGTAGTCGTTTAAGCCCGTGCACCCGCAATGGAATAGCGTGGTGGGTCTAAGTTCTTAAAAACCTCTCTTACGTGAGAGAAGACCCGTGCCTAACCGTGAGCTATAATTATGTTAAAATTTAAAATTTGGATATAGGATAACATACCGTGAAACTTTTTATTATCTACAGTGATTTGTATTTATAAGTTTAATTAAAATATTAAGAACTAATATTGTTTTTATTATTTTTGATAAAAGTGAACATAATTTCACAGGCTTATGAAAATTTAATTAAGATGTGTTGTGGACCTATAAATGCTTTTTATTCAGTAGTCCACAGATACCCAACTGAAAATTTACTCTTAATTTTTCACTCTGCAGAAAAATAATTTTTAATATTCGTACCAACTGGCTGGCTGTCAAATGCCAATTTGAGACGACACATACTTTGCTACAATGCAATAGTCTGTGAATTTTTAACGGGCTAGTCGGTGTAATGGTAGAAATATAGCTAATAACCAGCGGGCAGTGGGTTTGATCCACAACGGGTCCAACATGCTAATCAAATAATATTTTTTCTGAAACATGTTGGGCTTCGTCTGGAAATCTGGATTTTAAATGTGTGGTAGGAATGTCGAAGTTCCGTTCGGGTCACGAACCAGCGTCCACAGATGAAGAAGCCGTGACGTTTAATCGCGTTTCAAGGGAACCCCATGCAAAAAAAAAATGTAAAAAAAAAAAACTATACACACCTGTTCAGTCTTATAGGTCCACCTGTTTTTCTAACTTTTAAAGCTTGCTCCCAGAATTTCACAGCATCTGGTAATATCGTATTCTGAAAACAGACAAATAAATACTGTCTGTAGTTTACGCGAATAGTACACATTTGAATAAGACACTTTAACGGTTTAAAACGCGATACTCATTAGTTAAACTTATTTGACAATTATTTTTAACTATGGGCCGACGTTTCGGAGGCTATGTGTGAAGTGTTTGACTTAAACAGACAAATTTAATAAAATTTGAATAAAAGATTTTTATCGGTTTAAAACGTGATATTTATTAGTTATCGGCGTTTAGAATGCTTTAGAACTTATTGTGACTGCGTGGCACCAGTTGGGTCGATGTTAACTAATATATTTCGCGTTTCAAACCGTTATTTTTTATTACTTAAAGCTTTAATGTTTATTTACTTTTAAAATTAATAAAAGACATACTTACATTAATCATTTCAAATTTTTCTTGTTCTAACCTGTAAAAAGTAAAACGAAAATTAATTTATTTTTTCATACGACACAACTTTTAACTTAAATTAACTACTTTTTCCCGCGGATATCGCACCCGACACCTCACGGCTTACATCGCTACATGTAACCGAAATAACCATTGACAAGGGAGCTTTTAAAATGCATCAAAAAGACACTTACCTATATACAGAGTGGTCGTAAAATATACTTATTCTTAACGGTTGGTCTATACTTCGTTTCTTAACTAAGTGAGCTGGCTCTATGTGAACACCCCTTATTACCTGTAAAGAACGATACATTCATTACAATATATACTAATATGAAAAGCTGAAGAGTTTGTTTGTTTGAACGCGCTAATCTCACGAACTACTGGTTGAATTGAAAATTTATTTTTGTGTTGGTTAGAGCATGTATCGAGGAAGGCTATAGGCTAGACGATGTCACTAATAGGAGCGAAGAAACAGCAGGAAATGTGGAAAAACGTTGCGTACGCCTATATGTCTATATTTTAAGATTACCTTGCAAGAACAACGGTACGGGGACGCGGACAAAGTCGCTGGCACAGCTAGTAATGTTATATACCAAAACACTGTCTGTAGTTTACGCAACATGAACACATTTAAATAAAACACTTTAACGGTTTAAAACGCGATGTATTTCAGTTAAACTTGTTTGAGAATTATTTGACCATGTCTGCTGCAAAGCACACGAAACGTCGGGCCGTAGTTAAAAATGTTTTATGTAAATGTTATACATATACCTAAATACCGACGAAATACAATAATTCTTGTAAAGAGGAGATCCCTCAGCTACTTTGGCGTTACTAAAACATAGTTGATTTTGTAGAAGGCGCCTATGCTAACCCTGGAGATAGATGATGAACTTAGGAAGCACAAGGAAGAAGACGAAGACGCGGCCATAACTAGTAGGGCATAGGACTTTGAAAGAAAAACATACCCCCTTGCAGTTGTGTAATAAATTGAGAATCGATACAAAGCGGAAATCTCATTCCTAATTATTTCCTTATTGGTTCTTTTGTGTTATTTGTAATCTTTCGTAAACTTATTATTGTCTGACAGAAGCGGGATATATTGTAATTACTTCTTAATTGAATAAACCGCTTTTGGCCAGATTCAATTGTTTTTTTAAAAGCCACAGCGGCTTTTAAAAAAACAATTGAATCTACAAAACAGTTAGCAAATATATTTCGCGTTTTAAACCGTTAAAGTGTTTTGTAACGGGAATTTCGACGGGCCCGTTGGTGTAACGTATGGCAAATAAAATAACGGGCCGTGGGTTCGATCCCCACTGTGTCCACCATAATCCATTATTGTTTTTGGACATGTTAGACTTCGTCTGGAAATCTGGATATTAAATGGGCGGTAGGAATATAGAAATTCCGTTCGGGTCTGTGGATTTCTGAATATCCAAAGCCAAAATAGATCGACAGCACATCTTTAGATGCTATAGGCTAAGGTGTATCGCAATACCGTCAAGCGAACCCCATATCTGACCTCTAACATTATAATAAATGTATCGTGTACCAACATTCCAAACTGTTCCCTCTTTTTTGAAGTCTCTTTTGTTGCCGTGTAAAATCTATACTAATATATAAAGCTGAAGAGTTTGTTTGTTTGAACGCGCTTATCTCAGAAACTACGGGTTCGAATTGAAATTTGTGTGGGCAAGAGCATTTATCGAGGAAGGTTACATCTTTGTGGGCTTCCGTTGAGCTATAAAAAATCACGTTGTGACTAATAGAAGCGAAGATACAGCGGGAAATGTGAACGAAACGGGGGAAATTTTTCATCTCTGTGTTCATCAAATAACGATTCTCGCGGACGAAGTCGCTGGCACAGCTATTCTCAAATAAGATACTCTTTGTTCCATTGGCTTTGGACATTTGGAAACTTATAGCCTGTTTAATGCTTATATATCTTTTTCTTTCTCTTTCGTAATCTAATTTAGCCCGCCATATAAACTCTAGGTTCTTTAACTCAGTATTATATTCTGAAGAAACATTCCTGCATGGTGAGGCAGTAATTTCCAAGGATATATATTATTTATTAGCACAGTGCAGTAATGTCTTTTTAATTAAAATTTAATCTGTGTCTCTAATAATGAAACTGACATGTCAAAGGACAACAAGATGGCCGCCGGTTTGATTGCGTCAGAAATATGGGCTAATAAATTGCTTTGATTGCGACTCATTACCGGGAATTGCGTATATACCAACTGTACTGATATATAAATCTGAAGAGTTTGTTTGTATGGTTTGACGCGCTTTTCTTAGAAACAACTGATTCGAATTAAAACAATATTTTTGTGTTCATTAGAGCATTTATTGATAGGCTTCTTCTTGGTGGGTTTCCGTTGTGTGCGCTGCAAAAACGATTTAAGATGACCAAAATTCATTTCTTCAAGTTTTCCAAATAAAATAAAACACTTTTAACGGTTTAAAACACAAAATGTATTAGAACGTAGAGCCATAGTTAAAGTCATGTGTAAATAAGTTTATGTAATACATTTCACATTTTGAACCGTTTAAAGTGTATTTGAATACAGAATGAAAATATGTATTATAAAAGAATTTTCCGAGGAAAAACCTCTTGAAAAATAAAGTCAATAATAATATTCGCAGCTCGTAAATAATGGAAAAGTTACATTTATTGATTTTCCTCAGCGCCGCGGTGGGTAAGCCGTATATTACTGCTATTTTCATCTCTGTATTGAATATTTTAATTTTCCTCGTCAGACATTTTCAACATTACTCATGTATACACTATGTGTTACAAACGACTTCGTCCGCTTCCCGTCGTTCTTACGAGTTACTTAAAAGTTTTTTGATCATGTAAATAGGAATCATTTTTCGTACATATTTTTTGATTCTTTAAGGCGTTCCGCTTGCAACCGAGTTCAGGATTCAACAAATTTTCCCCTTTCCTTACATTTTCCCCCCCCCCACTTATTGGTCGCAGCGGCTTGTTAAGGGTTTCCTCTACAGGATTTTATTCAATAAAACAGATTTTCAATTCAAACTAATAGTCCCTGAGATTAGTGCGTTCCAACAAGCAAACTCTTCATAATATTAGTATAGAATATTCAGTGGCGATATTTATTTTAAATAAGAATTCAACTTTACAAGTGACCCTGTATGATTGCGCTAGTGTTTTTGTGTACCGACTAATATTATTTATAATTAAAATAATATAAATACCTAATAATCGAACTTTTCTATTTGTCTTATTCATGTTTGTTTGTTTTTCCTTCATTTTCCAAATTGGAAGACTCGTGGAGTCCAAATTAGTCTCATTTTAAAGTTTTTATAATAATAGATATATTAAGAATTATTTTGTAGTTCTTTTTACTAAAAAACAGGCAAAAAAAACTAATATCCTTCTTTCTGATATTGTAAACATATTACTTTCTACTCATCTCTTGGCTATGCACGGAGAAGATTAAAAATTCTCGTCGGTAGGCGTAGAAATATACAAGTAATATAAAATGAGACTATTTCATAGAAATAAGTGAAATAATATTATTCAGTAATTCTCGTTAGGTCTACATCCCAATTTGAACTTCCAAGAAAAATATACTTAACGTAAACAAAACACGATCAATGATTAAGTATACGGTTAATACGATGAACTCGCAAGAACGACGGGCACGCGACCGAGGGCACAGTGACGTAGGTTAGGACAGTTTGCAAAAACCCATTTTTTGATGCCCAAAATAAATAATCTACGCGAACGAAGTCGCTGACCTAGTATACTTATACAAACAAAACTCCTAACAGCGGAACAAATGTTTAACATCAGAATAGAACACAAAACTCCAGACAAGACAATTCTCAACGAATTCGATATAACTTTAAATAAAATAAACACAAACGATGAATCGAATCTTAAAGATACAAACGAAGATGGAGTAGACATAATACCACCGAGACACCGTAGTAATGCTGAAATTAAAAGAGATCTAGATAACTTCGCGATGGAAAGAAAGAAATCGCATTTAACAACTGTTGAATTTAACGTACGTAACTATGTTAACATTGAGGTAACTGAGAGCGTTAAAACGAAGAAGTATATCAGAGAATTGAGTAATACAATAAGCGCAGAAGACTATAACATGTTCAAGAGACCAGAAGTGGAGAGTGTTATGAAAAAACAGACCGAATTAGTAGAGAAGTTAACTAAGGTGTTACTCAGGGAGCGAATTATACTTGGCCCGGCGTTATCTAATCTTCTAGACGATGTTGAACGGTTGAAGAACAGATCGGCGACTTTAAAACAGGTATTTATGTAACTGACGAACAACATGCCGGAGTGCTTGGGCAAAAAATAGACGTCGTTAAAAAAATACTTTGGTGGTTTATAAAAGATATTTTAAGATTATATGTGTCAACTAGAGCAAGTGGCCACTGTAAAATTTATGACTATTTTTAAAAAATGTTAAAAAAAAAAAAAAAAAGAGAGACAGAAAATTTAAAAAAAAATTTTTACGTAAAAAATAGGACAAATTCAGTTTCACTAAAAAGTTAATTGCGCATTTTTATTTTCCTCTTTATTTAAAAACATGTTTTTTTTTTTTTATTAGGCCACTCTGATTATTAGCGGCTCATTTTATCTTTTACTTTATGACATTCATTCAGGAGGTTTATTTATAGGGTTTTTTTTGGGGTAAAAATTTTTAAAAACGCTTAGACTATTTTATAACTCAAAGAATACTAAAATAGTTAATTTCTTGTTTAATTCCCAATATTATAAACGCAAAAGTTTGCAAACACGAATGTTACGTTTCTCTTTGGCTTGGCCAATTTTGATAAATTTTGCAGGTTAATTTCTCGTTTTATAAAAACCTACTAACACTATTCAACTAGAGAATTATATTTTAATTTGTATATTTATGTATCTTATTTTATTTTAGGAGGTGATCAAACCGTCTATAAAACCCAATTCAATATTCAACATAGACGAAACCGCTGTACGCAATGCGTTGAAAATGGATCCCTTTGTAAAGAGGGTCCTTCAAATGGGAAAGAGTAAAAGAGACGCGTATGAGAAGGAAGCGAAATCATATCTTAAGGAGAGGAATTCGAAAGCCAAGTCGTAAAAAATAAGTTACTTTTAGATTTTTTTTATAAAAGAGTAACGGTTCAAAACACGAAATATATTAGTAGGCCTTCTGGGCGAGTCTACAGCTGCTGCAAAGCATGCGAAACGTCGGGCCGTAGTTAAAAATTACTTACTTGCAAACAAATATATTTCGCGTTTTAAAC